AAAGTTTCCAAGTGATCTATGCTTTTCGACATTGGAATAGAATATGCTCTTGAGTTTCCTCAGTCTCTCCGCACACCTGACAAATGCTGTCAATCCTCATTCCTCGGCCAAGAATATTGCTGTTCACAGGTAGGATGTTAGTAAAGCATCTCCAAATAAAATGCTTGATCTTCCCCATGACTTGTAGCTTCCAGCATCTCAGTCTAGCTCTAGTGTTTCCCTCTGCTCCCACACTAGTCTCAGCCTTATCTAAGCTACAGATTTTATCTTTCATCAGTAAAGCATAAGCAGCTTTCACTGAAAATGCTCCCTTAGAGATAAATGGACTGCTCCATTGATCAGATGCTTGGGGGTTCATAGAATTGATCCCTAGTATTTTAGTAGCAGCATTATCTTCAAATATAATTTTAACTAATGTCTCATCCCAGCCATAACCTCTAGCTACCAGTAAATCCTTCACACACAACAAATCCCCATCAATGTTCAGTTTTATACCTGGCTTACCTCCCTGGATCCCTGGGACCCAATTAAAGTCATTGAGTTTAGTGTTAACTCCATTCTTGATAACAATGCCCATATGTTTCTGCAGAATAGGGAGAAATACTGCCCAAGAATTCCAAAGCCATGATGCACTGCTCCTCTTTTGGTACTCAAATGCAGAACTCTTAAGAAAGTACTTTCTTTTCAAAACTTGACTGACAAGCAGATTTGGGTTTGACAGCACTCTCCATAATTGCTTCAGAATGAGAGCAGCATTAAATAGTCTTATATCTTGAAGCCCTACACCTCCTTCCTGCTTAGGAAGTGTCATTTTGTCCCATTTTAACCAATGCATCCCTGAGCTTTGAGCATCCCCCTTAGACCACCAGAACCTGGCCACCAGTCTGTTTATTTTTTAGCACAAACTTTTTGGCAGCACAAAACAGGACATAACAAAGACAGGAAGTGCATTCAAGACATATTTCACCAAAATTTCTCTCCCAGCAGTTGACAAAAAGTTATTCTTCCAGCTCCCAATTCTATCTTTCACAGCAGTAACCACAAATTGGAATGCATCTCTTTTTGAAGCCCCAATTCCCAGAGGCAACCCAAGGTACCTAGATGATCTCTTTAAAACCACCCCTCTGAGAACATTACAGATTTGAGCCTTCAGAGATTCACTACAATTAGAGCTGATGAACAAAGAGGACTTACATAAATTAACCTTCTGCCCTGCAAACCTCTGATATTTACCCATAATATCCAGCAATAAATGAGCATGTCTCACATCAGCCTTGCAGAAAACTAGAGCATCGTCAGCAAATAAAAGATGAGACAAGGAAGGCCCACCCTTAGATACCTTCACTCCCTGGAACAGTTTAGTGGCTTCCAAATGATTCAGATAAGAGGAAAACAGCTCTGACACAATTATGAACAGGTATGGTGCCAATGGATCACCCTGCCTAATCCCCCTCGATGGAGAAACAAATCCACAAATATTGCCATTCAGATTAAAAGAAAATGAGGCAGAAGATATGCAGCTCAGGATCCACTTAATAAACTTGGAATGAAACCCCATTTTAGCCATTGTTTTTTTAATGCATTCCCATTCTACTCTGTCGTACGCCTTCTCCATATCCAGCTTTAAAGCCATAAACACATTAGGACACGAACTATGTCTATGAAGAAAGTGAAACACTTCATGAGCCACAACAACATTATCAAGCAATTGCCTTCCTGGAATAAAGGTTGTTTGTGATTGACTCACACAGTCATTCAAACAGATTTTTAGTCTTTCACCAAGGACCTTAGGTACAATTTTATACAACACACTACAGAGGCTTATGGGCCTGTATTTACTCAGAGAATCAGGATAAAGGCATTTTGGAATAAGTGTGATAACTGTATGGTTCCAGTTTTTTAGCATAACCCCAGATTGAAAAAAACTCTTAATAGCACCACAAATATCCCCTTTAACTATGTGCCAGAAATGTTGGAAAAAAGTTGCAGACATACCGTCTTCACCAGGGGATTTATCGGGATCCATGCTAAATAAGGCAGCTTTTATTTCTTCCTCTTGAACCTGCTTGATAAGATCATTATTCATAGCCTCCGAAATAGAATGATGAATATGCTGGAGCAGCTCATCCCCATCCCTTGCACCTTCTGAAGAAAAGAGCTGAGAATAAAAATTAGTGATGTGTGTCTCCATGGTCTCCTTAGTATCAAATCTCTGTCCAGAGTTGGATATGAGAAACTGGATTGAGTTCATTTTCCTTCTTTGATTAGCAAAGACATGAAAAAACCGAGTATTTCTGTCCCCCTCCTTCAACCACAATGCTCTAGACTTCAATCTCCAAAATTGCTCTTCTTCTCTATAGGCATTCTCCAGATCAGCTTTCACAAGCCCCGATTCCTCCCAATCAACTGAGCCTCCATCTTTCCTCATCTCCTCCAATTTACTAGTGAGGACATTAATCATTTTCTCACTGTTCCTCTTTAAAGGTT